GTGGGTGGGTGGCGGTTCCGACTTCCCTTCGTTCCGCCCGGACTGCCTCCGGTTCTGCTGGGCACCCCGACTGGTCAAGCGCTTGGGGTCGCGGGTCAGGTCACGTGACACTCCTGGCCGTTCTGCTGGCTGGCTGGCAGGAAGGTCGACCGGGAGGTGGGTGAGCTGGCGTCCCGAAGTGTTCGGCAGACGTACAGGAATAAACGCAGGGCTCCAGCGTGGGAGGACAGGTTCCGATTTAGCCTCAGGTAATCGGAACGTGGGCTGGGCTCGCGCCTTAGCTTTGCTCCTCATCCCTCATGCTCTCGTCCAGCCGTTGCACCGTCTGGGTCAGTATCTTTGTAGGTGGGGACAGGTCCACAGAGGAGTGCTGTGGCTTGGCCCCGTCCCGGGCATCTCTGCCTAGAACAGGGCCCTGGATATCGAGCGGGTACTCCTCTGCTGGACGGCCCGACGGCCCTTCTCCGCACGCAGCAGGGCTCCACGAGGGGTGAAATGTTCCCAAGCAGCACAATTCAGGCGAGTCCCAGCAGCCGAGCGACCTTTGCTTTGTTGACCATCACTGGAAGCAAAGCCCACCTTCCCCACCACCATATCTATTTCTTCGACTTTTGGAGGCCAGTGTGCCAGCTGCTCAGGTGGGCTGGGAATGGAGAGAACTCTGACATTCGCATCCTGCTGCAGGCCTGGGCATCAGCCTGGTGGGAACACAATTCTTACCTCAGTCCCCTCCAACTGGAGAGAGAGACATCCTGCCATCTTCTGCAGTCTTGTTCTGACCTCACAGATCCAGCCTGTTCTGCCCGACATTTGCTCCAAATAGCCCGCCATGCCAGTCTAGCAACCGGCTGGGCTATCTAGGGCACAGAGGGCCACCTGCATCTCAGATAGAGTCATCCGGATGGCTTTGGCCATCCTGCCCTTCTAGGACCACCTTCCCAGCGGGGGGCATCTCGCGCGGTGAGCCTTGGAGAGGGAGGGGAGATCACTGGGGTCTCCATTCCCTTCCTGTCCCTTCTCTCCTGGTCCCCACCTCTGTGCCAACAGTGTCCCCCTTTGCTGCCGTGTCTGCCAAGCCTTCTCTCTGATTTTCCTGGCAGGTGATCTTGTTCCAGTACTGACTGCTCCTTCTCTTTTGCATCTCCCGGGACTCGTGATGCCACTGCTGCTTAATCTCCTTACCATTTCACCCATGGCAACCAGGGGACCTTCGGCATGAGAACCCCTTCACGGTCTTCTCAGCCCTGGCTTCTAATCCGGCCTCTGGATCTCAGCCACTAGTTGCCATGGCCGTGGCCACCAGCCGCTGAGCATTCCCCAGTGGTGGTCTTCATCTGGTGGACTTGCTGGCTGGTGAAGACTCTGGGCAGTGCCCTCTCTGGGTGACCGAAGCAAGGGGACTTACTGTGGATATATCTTGTCTGCTACAAGTTCAACCCATGTAAGAAAAGAAACTGAGCCACCTGGGCTAAACGTGCTCACGCTACCGTGGAACGCTGTTGATCTTCAACCTGTGTAAGAATCAAGTCTACTAACTTACCAACATTCAGCCTTTAGATGGAAACGTGGAGGCGAAACGCCATTTCAACAAAGAGGACCGTGGATCTTGATCTGCCGATTCCTTTCCAACTCTTGGGGCTTTTGACTGTCCCCGTAAGCAACATCGGTCTGTTTTTTGGATGGGCGGGTCTTTGCAGCTCTCAGACCAGATGCTGGACCTGCCCTGAGAGGTGCCGATCCAGGCGCTCCTCAAACCATCACGGACGCTTCTAATCCGACCACCCGGCAGCCGGGGGGAAACGTCTGTCTTCCTAAAGCCTGGGAGCAGAATCCAACAATGAGGGCTTGAGCCTTTGCACAGAGCTGAGAAAATATTTTAAAATTCCCTGGTGCCAACTTCAAACTTTTTTTTTTTTTAAGAAACGGGGGGCGGGGGTGACTGAACGCCTGGGACTTTGTGCTACCGGGACTGTTGACAAAACTGGAACTTCCCTCTCTCTCTTTCTCTCTTATTTAAAAAAAAAGGTATTTGGTGTTCTCAGGTTGTGCGAGATGGAGCAGCTGAGCAAAAGCACTTGGCGTTTTCAGTCTGACTAGCCACTGTTCATCACGGCCTCCAGCTTTGTCTCGCTACGGCTAGGCAGCTGCTAGGTTAACTGACCCGTGAAATGTCTCTTTGACGGAAAGGCCCTTTAGACCTAATCGCTTCTCTGAATGGGGCATCCACAGGGCCTTGCACAGGGCCATCACCTCCACAGCCAACCGCGTCACCCTCTTCCGGCTGAAATGGAACGGATGGGGCTCCTTCTCGGAGCAGTTCCTCCCAGGACTTGCCACCCAAAGGCGCAGGCGTTGCACCAATCTAGGCAGGTCCCCCATTTCTCCCCGGGCGGGGTTGGCGGTCTCTTCCCGTGGTTCTGCCCCTTCGTGGTCCACCCGCACTGCTGGGAAGGTCCTACGGCAGTGCCCGGGTGGACTGGCTTCTGAGAATTAACCCAGAGAGCAGCGCTGGGCCTGAAAGAGGAAGCGCGCCCAGCTGTGCTTACTGGTGGTCCTCAGTGGTCAGCGCGGGAAAGGAGGCGAGCGCAGCGTGACCTTCGAACTCCCTTACTCAGAAGTCCTGTGAATTGCGGTGGAGACACAGGTCACCCACCCTGATGTGGGGCAACTGCCTTTATGTCAAAGGGGAGAGCAACTGCTTTGGTGCCCGAGTTGGGTCAGCGCGGGGCCTTTGAGCGAGCTGTTTTTCCAGCCCCTCCCCGCGACTCCCTTTCCCGTCGAAAGGGCTGCCCTCGCCAAGCTCTCCTTGGCCTGAAGGATGAGGAGGCATCCAAGGGTGGGGCTGACCAGCAGCCCAGAGGGCAGGAAAGAGCCCGGCAGGCCTTGTCTTAGCGTCCTCCGGATCGCCAAGGCAGCGTTGGCCTTTCCTCCTTGCGAGGGTCAGGGAGCAGCCGGGACGAGCACCTTTTCAAACCCAAGGGGCATTTGTGCTTTGGCCCCACCAAGTTGTCAGCTCTTGCAGGATGGGAAACCGTTCCTCGTTCATGAAACAGAGGTCTGTGGAAAATAGGGAGATGCCCTGGAACGGAAGGTGGGTCCCCTCCTGTCTTTAGACTAGCGTCGCCTTAGCCAACCTCTCTCTCTTTGGGCGAAGCTTTCCAGCTATGTGCATTAAATGCACACGCACACAGCCGAACAGGGGGGCCCTCTGACCCTGCAAGGGCCAACTCCGCTCAGCAAAGCTCTGTGCATGCTCTGAGGCACCTCTGGAGGTGGGACCACACCGATCCATCCGCCTGTAAAATCCTCCCGTCCCTCTTTTTGCCAGTATTCCAAACTGCACCTCCAGCGCCGGCGTAATTGGACATGGGGGTAGAAATCGTTCATCCCATTTGCTTCTCACAACCATGTTGTGTGACGCTCCCAGCGAATTTGCTAACAGCCCCATCCGATGGGCCGGCAATGAATAAGATTAGCCGGAATCTACACAACTCTATTCCCCACAAATAGCATCCTTTGGAATCCGGCACGGATTGTAGTTTCCTATATGGAATGCGTTTGAATTTTCTATAGCTCTGAGAGCTGGAAAAAGAATAAAATAAAAGTGGAATCTAGTGGGATTCCAAAGGAGGTACAAAAATGAATTTCCAGTAACTCGGGAGGGCAGTTGCTTTGTCCTGCCCGCGGAAGAACCCGAAATATTCACGCCACTAAGCGCTGATTGATGTACAGTCTTTGATTCAAGCAGGTGGGGCTTGCGGGGTCTCTGAGAGGCAGCAGCGCGTCTCCCTCTCCCCGCATCTCCTCTTTTTAAAAGCTGGGATGGGCAGAATACACTGAATACGCGGCGCACGGAGGGGTAGCCGCCTGGCCTCGCCAGGAGAAGCCGGGCGCGGAGGCCGTGCCAAGCCGTCTCGGGAAAAGGAGCAGACTGTTTTGTTTGTAGATTGTTGCAATTTCTGCATGTCTAGGTGAACGTGGCTCAAAATAACCTTCGAAAGAACAGGCGGTCAGGACTGGTATTTATTTAAGAAAGGAAAGAAGAAAGAAAAAAGAGAGAGAAATGTAAAGCACTTTTTAAAACAAAAAAAAAAAGAACAAGGTCAGAACCAATGTTTGTTTTATTAGCTCCTTTTACTGTTGTGCTTTGTAAATGTCTTATTTGTGTAATAAATAAAGTTAACGCGAGTCGAAGTGCTGGCACTGACATCAAGGAAACGATGCGATGCCCGTTTCTTTCCTCCGCTTTCTCAGCCCGGCTCCCCGTCCTGTCTTTGGGCCCTCGATGCCAAGGGCAAAGCAAAACCAAAACAAAAAGGCCTCTGGTCCCTTCTCTCCCTGGCAAAGGTGGGCATCCAGAGCCCCCCCTCCTGCGCTCGCCCTCCGGGCAGGGCCGAGGGACATGGAGGGCGCTGGGCGAAGGAGCCGCGGCGGCTTCTGGTGGGCGTCCCGTGTGGCTGGTGATGGGCGGCCTCAGAAGCCTGCCAAGCGCACACCTTGGAGGGACAGGACCGCAATCGAGGGCGATTAGCTCACCGTCGCCACTCACTGCAGCGGATGAAAGGAAAGCCGTCAGCGTTGTTCTCTGTGCCAGGGGAGCCCGAGGCGACCTTAATGGAGAAATTACAGGGGCCGGGTCCTTGGGCGGGGAAGCCGAGGGGAGCTGGCTTCTTCACCGCCCTCCGCGAAGCTCACTTGGCCGGCTTGTAGCCAACACATTCGTCCCAGCCCTTCCGGCACGTCTTCACAATCCAGTCGTGCTCGTCGTCATCTGAGGGGGCGGGTGGTTATTGCCGGGGGGGGGGAAGAAGGCACAAAAGAAGAATCAAAATGGGTTTCGTTCAGGTCGCTCCCTTGGCCTTGTCGAACCTGGGAGTTTTGCACGGAGATTTAAAGCATAAAAGAAGGGTTTCCAAGGCATGGCAAATAGAAACCAAACCAACAGTTTCCAGAAATCAAAGCACCTTTCCCCAACAGTGAGAGTGAACGTATTTTGAGCAGCGGCCTGTATAAGGGCCACTTAGACGTTTTCTCTTGACGAACAATGGAGTTTGACTTGGAAATAAGTCCAACTGAGTTTAAATAGGGCTTACTCCAGGTAAGTAGGTGCGAGATTAGTCCAATTATCTGCCTTCTACCTGCCTACAGTCTGACTGCCTTCTAACTACTCAATTAATTTAATCTACAGTAGGTAATTTTTCATACTGTCAAAACCTCAGCCTTTGTTCAGGAGATTTCAGAAAGCGTGGAAGGGTGAGCTGATGATTTAATAAATTTGAGAAGTTCCATATGTGTTTGGGATGGGGGGAGGCCCTTCTAACATGTCCCCTGAAATGCTCTGAATCTTGGGCTCACCTACCAACTGATCTAAATTCCACCTTAGTTAAGTGGTAGGTGGTTAACCTGCTAAACCAGTTCGAGACGGACGCAGTTTCATTTTCTGTGTTAAGGAAACAGATGGTCTAATCAGGCGTCTAAATAAATATATCCTCATTCCTTCTTGCCGCTGGGAGCCCAGCCTGTGTCTCCCTCGGTGTCACAATTTTCCAGTTGTGGCCAAGAGGTGAAGGGATGGGAACTGAGCCTGTGGGCTACCCAGTGAGATCTTGCAGGGGCCGCGTGTCCTTGTCCAGAGGAAGCCCGGGCTGTGGGGGGCACGGCTGGCCCAAAGTCACCCGGGGAATCCCCCTCCTTCACACGGTTCCGTCACAGCTCAGGGCTCCCCGTATCCCCGTGTGGACAAGGAGACTGGGCTGGCTCCTGTGCGGCCAGGAGCACGAAGCCCGCCTTCCAACTCTCTTCCAGGCCTCGTGCGCTTGCTCTGGAAAGGGGCCGCAAGTGGGACCGGTGCTACGCTGCCTGTTTGCCTGGAGCCAGCGGGAAAGGGAGACCCGTCTCGGCATTCTACCTGCATCGAGAACTGGCAGGAGTTTTGACCAGGAGAAGGACCAGGTATCTTCCAAACCTCCTCCTCTGGGGTGGGGGATGTGGGCTTCTCCTGTCTCAGTGGTGACAGGTGCAGACAGGTAGCATTTGAAAGGGAAGGAACTGCCCAGCCAAAGAGCAACGCCGTGGGATCCTGGCTCACCCCCAACTCCCTTGCTGGACCTGCACAGAAGGACGTGCGGCCACCACGGGCAGGGGATGGAGAGGCGGCCAGAATGCGCGAGAAGCCGGGGGCTGGCCTGGCCTGGCCAGGGAGGGCGGGGATGGCTTGTGCCCAGCCAAGCTAAGGGTTAATGGCTGGGCTGTGTGTTCTCCTTCTGCCACCCAAGAGGAAGAGGAGGCAGCCTGCCTGCTAATCACGCCTGCTCCTGGGCGTATGAATTGGTGCAGCTGTAGCCTCTTCAGGATGAAACAAGGCAAACTGGGTTTATTGTGCTGAAGGAGTTTCGGGCTCCTCCCTGATTGTTCGTAATTGGCGGCCAGGGACTTAACAGCCTCTCGATCATCTCTACCTGACGGTGCAGCTAACAATTTAAATCACAGATGCTGATCTGGCTCGGCGGCGGCAGCTGCTTGTTAACCGCGCCGGTCCCCTTGTGCTGTCCCCAGCAGCTTCCTCACCCCGCAACACCGGGGTGAGCGTGAAGAGTTGGGTTTCATCCATATTTAAAACAGAATTAAAAGCCTGGACTTTGATTAGCGCTCCCAGACGGCAAGTTGTAATTACCTCTTTTTTTT